ATTTATTTATTTATTTAATTTTAGAGAGGGAGAGAGGGAGGAGAGGCAGAGGGAGAGGGAGAGAGAGAAACTCAGGGGGCTTGATATCATGACCCTGAGATCATGACCTGAGCTGAAATCAAGAGCCAGACGCTTAACTGACTGAGCCAACCAGGTGCCCCAAGACTGACCCCTGTGAAATCATTTTGCCCCTTTGGGCCTCTCTTTCCTCAGCTATAAGGTGAGGGGGAGGGCTTGGTGATCTTTCAAGTGCGTCCCATCTTTGAGACTCTTTACATTTTATTTATTTTTTTATTTTTTTAGATTATTTATTTATTTATTTGTCAGAGAGAGAGAGAGAGAACACAAGCAGGGGGAGCAGCAGGTAGAGAGAGAAGCAGGCTCCCCGCTGAACAGGGAGCCCGATGCGGGACTTGATTCCAGGACCCTGGGATCATGACCTGAGCCGAAGGCAGACACCCAACTGCCTGAGCCACCCAGGCATCCCCCATCTTTGAGACTCCTATTTATAGTTACTTTTTTCTGGAAGAAGAGGCTCTGGCAACTTCCTGGGATCTGGATACCTGCTCGGCTGGGCTGGGAGGGGGGCCCGGTAGTCCAACCCTCTCTTCTGCAAGGTTGGAGGTAAAGTCATCAGGGAAGGCCCTGGTAATGGAGAAGGAGACTGAGGGGCTGTCTGTCCCAATGCTGCAGATGAAGGAGTTGGGATCCTGGTCGTGGTAGCACTCAACAACCAGCTCCTGCTATGCGTCCTCTCCCAACTGATGAAACTCACCCAGGCCCTGTGGCTAAACCCCCCTACTACGGGGGCTCGCATTATCACCTCCATCCTCTGTAACCCTGCTCTTCAGGAAGAATGGTAAGGGCAAAGGGTGGGGGCGGGAAGGGATGGCAGAGCCTCTAGACATACATATAGACTTGCCCATTCACAGGATTCTTCCTGCCCAGTTGCCTCTTTGACTCCATTCATTCATCAACATTTGCTGAGGACTCATTGTGTACCAACACCTTGGGGGAGTGGGCAAGAGGACATTCTTTTGGGACATAGGCCAATGAATTATTTGAAGTCTTCCAGATTGCAGGAGATTAGGCAGCATCAAGGACTTGCTACTCTGGCAAAATCTGCCTACAGGCCTGCGTGGCTTGCTTAAATTAATATGGGCTGAACCTCCTCTCCCACTTGTAATCAGATCCTGGGCTCCACCAGTACGCCCTCGGGCACTATCCTTGGGGCTTTTGAAGGCAAGAAGAGTGCAATGGCAATGAGGAGCTTGACAGCAGGGAAACCTCATACTTTAATTTCTTGCTGTCTTTTCTTTGGCAGGAAGCAGAGTCTGAAAGGGCTTGTAGAGAACATCATGCTGATTAAGGAAAAGGTGAAGGAGAAGCTCCGGCTCCTGGGAACGCCTGGTTCCTGGGATCATATCACAGACCAGAATGGGCCCCATAGCTATCTTGGACTCAACTGTAAGTGTCTAGGAGGGGGTAGCTCCCCCTTTTCTGACCTTGGGATTGTATTTGAGCATTAAGCTTCACTGACTAGGTGACCAGTCCCTAGTTGTTTGATTTGAGGGAAGTAGAGTTGCTTTAAAGACCCTTCTGGATCCCCAGAAATGCTGGCACTTCCTATCACCTCTAATCCACCCTGGGCTAGAGGGGAGTTAGTATCTCAGACCCTGGGATGATCACCAGTCCAACAGGTGGAATACCTGGTCAAGAAAAAGCATATCTACCTTCCCAAGAATGGTCGGATCAACTTCAGCTGTATCAATGCCTGCAACATAGATTATATCACTCAGAGCATCAGTGAGGCTGTCCTCTCCACCAAGGGCTCAGAGTAACATATTCAGAAAATTGATGACTCCCGGTCGGAATAAAAAGCTTTAGTCTTTGCAAAAACTCTGTGCTGAGTATTCATTGCTATAATTCATTTCTCTGCAAAGCATTCTCTCTTTCCATCTGTTTATGAAGCACTGGTCTGACCTCAGCAGAGAGAAGTTAAAAAGGCCCAGAGAAGAAGGGAATGTCTATCTTCAGTGACCATCTCATATTTATTTAATAGCTACTATATTAAGGCCCTGACCTGGTGCCTTAGTTTGTTTGGGCTGCTACACCAAAATACCAGCAAATTCAGGGTCTGGTGAAGGCCCTCCTCCTGGTTCATAAACAGCATGTTGTAACTGTAACAGCACATAGTGGAAGAAGCAGGGCGTCTCCCTAGGGCTTCTTTTATAAGGGCACTAATCCCATTCATGAAGGCCCTGCCTCCATGATCTAACCACATCAAAACACGATCACATTGGAGATTAGGTTTCAACATATGACTTCTGAGGGGACAGGAACATTCAGATCATAGCATCTGGGCATCAAAGGGAAGGCAAAAAACCAAGTACAATCTGGTTCTTTTTCTCCAGAAGCTTAGAGTCTAGTTGGGAGAAGAGCCTTAGTCCTATGAAAGCTAAGTAACATTTCAAGGTTGAATATAATAAAAAGTCACATCGATTATCTGGACAGGAAATATGTCAAGAATTTAGGGAAGAAAAACCTTAATATGGGCCAGAACAGTTGGGGAAGATCTCACAAGAAACTACAAATTGGTTTGTGTACTGATGGACAGCTAGGAGTAGTGATAACAGGTAGAAGGGATCTAGAAGGATATCCTAGGCACAGAGCAACCTGAGCAAGGGCCACTGGCATGATTGTAAAATATGATTATTTATTGGGCATCTATCTGCTAATATATGGAATTCTTCAAGCCCCCGAGATACTAAAAGTTATGGCAGTTGCTTCTCTTATGTTGGCCTCCATCCTAGCTGGGGAGATACCACCTACATGGTAAAAATGTCATTAAGAATAAAAGGTGACATGGGGCACCTGGGTGGCTGAGTGGTTTAATCATCTGCCTTCGGCTCAGGTCATGATCCCAGGGTCCTGGGATCGAGTCCCACACCGGGCTCCCTGCTCAGCGGGGAGCCTGCTTTTCCCTCTCCCCCTCCTGCTCATGCTCTCTCTCAAATAAATAAATAAAATCTTAAAAGAAGACAAACATGTAAATTTTACGTTATGTGTGTTTTATCACAATTTAAAAAAATTACTGGGCAGCATGTCCCCCAGGAGAACGTTTAGGGGTCTACCGCCCTACCAGCCCCTAAGCAGTTAACCACCCCTTCCTATCAGGAAGTGCAGAAGCCGGGGACAGATTTCGGTCCGGGACCTGCTCTAATAGCCGTGGTTACGTGGGTGTCAGAGGGATGGTTGCGGTGCTGCTAGTGGTGGAATTAGCAGAAGGCTGTGGGGAACTGGTGGGTTTTGACAGGGGAGGGCTGGCGTGGAGGAGGGAGACAGGGGCCGTTCAGGAGAGGGCATAAAGCTGGCCTGCAGGGGTGTCCTGCCCTCCCTTTTCTAAGAATCTTATAGGCGCTGTGAGGGGGGAAACCTGAATCTGCAAGGCTCACACACACTGCGGCTCTCTCCGGTTTCCCGACTTTGGAGACAGCAGGTGGCGCTGTTGAGTAAACTTGGGAGCCCAGAAGAGGAAACCTGAACTTTGAACTTGAGAAGTAGGGCATCTCTATCCTGGTAACTCTCTCCCTTCCAGCGGCCAGAGCGGAGGAGGGTGTGGGAGATGGGGATCATCTTCCTCTTCGAGCTCTTTAGGACTCTTCAGCTGGCCCCGGGAGGAGGGAGGGCTGGGATCTGTTCTCCTGCGTGGTTCCCACGTGCGCTGGTATCCCAAATGTCTTTGGAATGCAGCTCAGGTGAAATCCTGGGTGGTGGCCACCAGCAGTTTGGGAGGGGTAAAGAAATCCGGAGGCATCCTTACACACCCCTCCATCAGCCGGGCTGACTCACCCTGGACCCAGCTCAGGGTAGCTTCCCTGGCTTTGCCTACTCCTCTTAAACTCCTGGGAGTCCCCCTCTCCCCACTCCCCTTAGAAAGTTCAAACTGCTCTGCGGAATCTGGAACTCCGCAGTAAAACAGACCAAACACTCATTGTAGTTTTAAATTTGGGGCCCTTATCCAGTGAGCTCAGGTTCCAGAAAGCATCCATGGGGACTAGTTGGGGAACTGGGTGCTTTGCGCTGGGTTAGGGCATTGGATGAGGTAGGAGGTCTCCTCCTATCCAGTGAATCTGGATTTGATTGTGTTGCCAGGCTTTGTCCCCAACAATGATAGGACTCTGGGGAATGCAAACACAACACTGGTTTGACAGCTTCAGCAAGTTTTAAGCCCAACACGCCAAAGGCCAGTGTGCCTTTGGAACTCCACGCTTGCCAGTCTCAATCTCGACACGCGTTTATGTCCCTATCCTTGTTTCTCCTCTGCCTCACCTTTCTCGGGGTGTTCTAATTTATGCTGTTTGACTTCACTTACGTGATTTTGTGAAGTCTTAAATCCTTTTTGAGACAGGGCAGGGTACAAATAAAGAGAAAGAAAAACACAACTTGGAAAGGTCAGATGTTTTGATATTGGCTAAACCTTGTGCTAATGTAAGAAAATGACTACACCCTTAGTGACCATAACATCCAGAATCTTCCACAACTCACAGCAGAGAAAGGCTGTCTCCTCATGGAAAGAGGTGACAAGACTGCAGACTTGACTTTTGACTCCTGGCATTCCCGGTGCCTCCCCCTGGGCATCTTGCTAGGGTCCCTGCTGTTACTGCCAAGCTTTAGGGCAGGGTGAGGGCTGGGGACGCTGTGCCCCTTTAACCTTTTGCTACTGTGGACTCATGACCTTTCCCTAATGCTCCCTGCAGAGCTCTAAACTCACAAGACCGGAACATTTGAAATGACTTCTAAAAAGACTATTAGATGAGCAAAACGTAAGCAGAAAATAGCATGAAACTAGGTCATCAAAGCGATAGCTCCTGATATTTTATTTTCCATTACACACCACGTGGTGACTTCAACATTCATATGAAAGCCGATCAGGTTACTGGTCATATGTTTTTTTTTTATGATTTTACATATTTATTGGGGCAGGGAGAGCACAGAGGGAGAGTGAGAGGGAGAAGCAGGCTCCCCGCTGAGCAGGGAGCCCGATGCGGGGCTTGATCCCAGGACCTGGAGATCTTGACCTGAGCAGAAGACAGATACTTAACCAACTGAGCCACCCAGGTGCCCCCGGTTATCATATTCTTACACTAGCTACAAACCTAAACAATTCTCAAAGTGCAGGACCTCGTGTTCCCCTTCCTCAGCAGGGTGGTCCTTCTAGCACCCCTTTCTAGAGCAACTTTCAAACGAGATGATGCTTCATAACTTCAGCACCAAAGTTGGCTTTCAGTTTTAAGTCACACATTTCCCACCCCCCACCCGGCCCCCCTGCAATCTTAGAAGATGAATGTAGCCATCCCCAATACTTAGAAGTATTTCCTGCTTTCTCTGAGGTATTTCAAAGGTTTGTGGTCGGAGGCATCTAAGTGTTGAAAAGCCATTTTTTACCATCAAATTGGATTTCAAAGGATCTTGGAGATGTAAGAGACCGTAGAGACCATTTATTGCCATTCGCGCAGAGTATTCAGGCTGGAAGTGATTAAATGACTTGCTGACGGTCCCAGAGCTGAAGAACATAAACTAAGATTTATGCCTATTGATACCCAGACCATTCTTTTTCTCACTGCGCTACCCAGCTTGGCTTCTTGCACATCTGAATAGAAGTATAATCGTGACTGGGACTTTCTTTACAGAAGTAGATATATATAGAAGCAAACACACACACACACACACACACAAACATGTAAGGTAATAGAATTAGGAATTAAAGTAACGGAGGAATGATTATTTGTGTTGTGTGCACAATCTTAGCTGTTTGTGATGAGTGTCTTAAGGTATGCACAGATGCAAATCTGGACCCCCAATAATTGGAATGAATGAGTCTGAGGGAGAAAAAAATTTTAATTTTATCCATTGAAGGCAGAACTCTAGGGCAAACGATGAAATTTAGGCAAGGCCCTACCCTCTAGAAGTTCATGATGGGTAGACATTGGCTTAAATAATTCTAATATAAAGCTGACTTTGATCATCACTGTCACAATTTAGTAAGGAGTTTAGGATCACTATATGCGAAAAAAATAGTAACAACAGGGAAACTTACCAGTAAGTACAAGCAAATTACGTGTGTACGGGTGTGTCACAGGCATGTATACGCACGTACGGATACGTAGCAGCTGCCCATTCACATAATGTGATTTTTCAGTGTATTGTAAGTATCCAGCAAGGATGGTGTCATTTGAGATGAACTCTTGTACAGCTTCTGCTCGGCTTTATGCGCACAAAGATACTTCATGGTGTGTCTCTTATCTCTTGGTTTGGTTCTAGGTCCGATGAAGAAAACACACTTATATTTCCAGGCCAGACTTCTCCTCTGAGCTCCAGACTCGTATTTCCAACAGTCTGTTTGCCATCCTCTTGGGGTGTCTCAAAAGTACCCAAAGCTCAACGTGTCCAAAAGAGCCCCTGATCCTTCTTTCAGGATTCCCTATCTCAGTCAGTGGCATCATTGTCCGCACAGTTATGCAAGCCAGAAATCTCCCTAAGGGCAGGGACCCGGACTATCTTGTTTTCTGCTGTGTCTTCACGACCTAGAACAGTGCATGGCACAGAGAGGGTGCTGATTATGTCCTGTGGAATGACTGTCTGCAATCTCTGGATTGCATTCATTTTCCTCCATCTCCACCATTACCGTTCAGTCCGGCCGCCATAACCTCTCACTGGCACGACTGCAATAGCCTCCTGACTAGTCTCCCTTCATCCATGCTTAGCCCTATTTCTATATATCTTCCACGGTGGCCAGTGATCTTTTCAAAACAAATCTGATTCTGAGACAAGTGCTCTTGCCGTGGCCT